CTTTTCACATTGCACATTGCACATTGTACATTGCACATTGCACATTGCACATTGTGTTAAAAGGTATATACTATATCTACTGATAAAGTTCAACTTTAAGAAATTGGTGGATTATCGAAAAGCAAAATTCTAACTCAAAAATAATGACGGAAAAATTACAAAAAATTTATTTCCACATGCAATGATTATGTAAACACTTTAATTAAAATATAAATAATTTCATATGTAAAGTAGCAATTTAATAGAAATTTTGTCCTAAAATTTGCATATAAACATTTTTTTTAACTTCTTCATATGATTGTTCTAAATTTCTAGGTAAATGAACCCGGTTTCCTTATAAATATACTTTTAAATAGTTGCATGATGTACCGATATGTTTATAGTTTATTATACATAATTTTTTTTTGATATGATATGAATAAATAATAACAAAGTGCAAGAAAACATATTGGAGATTTTATTATTCACATATAAAGTTTGAGTAATAAATTAGAAGTATAAAGAAATCTTATTTTTTTTTTTTATTAATATTAATTTTATTTCTTTAAAATCTTACGATTTCGTTATTATGGATTNTTTATTAATATTAATTTTATTTCTTTAAAATCTTACGATTTCGTTATTATGGATTCATATTACAACTATAGATTTATTTTAAATCAAGGATAGGTAGTTATAATTACCTATGAATAATAACACTTTATGCAATCGTAATATTTCGTTCCATATTTTTTTAGGTATTTTTAAAAGCCCCACAGGCTTAAAGTTTAAAACAAATGACTATTTTTATTTAGATAAACCAGTACTTTTTGTCAATTTTTCTTATAGCAAAGTATTTGTGCTACCTCGAGCTATTTAAAGTTTTTGGAGTTTTCCATTGTTCATTATTTTATTTTTACATGGATTTGGTTTTTTAGTTTATTTGAATAATATCTTTGTAAAATTGTAATAATGTAAATATATAAACAAAGAAAATATATTAATATAATTATTATAGCAATAAATTTAAATAGAAATATTCCGTATTTAGTCTCTAATATTTTATTTTGATTGTATTATTGTTAAATTATTATAATTCAAAATAAGTCAGGAATTATAAAAAAAAAAAACAATAAACTGGATTTTTTTTTTAATTTATAAATAAAATATATCCAAAAGACTAATATGCGTTAAAATATCCCATGGTTTATCAAGAGAATATAAGACCACTGGTCTAAAAGTTATTATTCAGAAGTAATTTAATGGGTTATGATATTCGGATCACTCTATTAAATTAAAAAATATATTCGAAGTACTTAAACATTCAAAATTAATGGTTGGACTTAGTTGTAAAAAGTATTGTAATTTATAACGCTCAGCTAATATTAAAAAAATTATCAAAATTATTATTTTAATTTATTAAAAATATATAAACTCAACTTTGTAACATAAATCAACACTTTTTTTTAGCTTTGATGCGAAGCTGAGAAAGTATTGGTTTTACTATGATGTGTTTCTTTTTTTTTGTGTCTGTTACCATTTTTTCTCAGCTCTCACCGAACTGATTTCTTTCAACGATACGTCAAAAGATCACAAATCGTATCTAGTCGAAGACATTACCCACAAAAATTGAAAACATTTCCCTCGTTCCCCGTAAATGGGGGAAATCTCCAAAAAAATTACTAATTTAAAAATCGCCAATTTTCGAAATTTTTTTTACTTAAAACTGCCATAAATTTTTTAAAAATGAACAAATCAATATAATTTTTTTTTATAGATGTTTGATGTTTTTACCTTTCATTTGGTATATTTTTTTTATAAATTTAACCCTTCACCACCCCACAAGGGGGGATTCAATATGACAACTTTTTCACAAAAAATTAACTTTTGAAAGTATTCCGGAAATAATTAAAAAAAATCACAAATTTAAGAATGGCTATTAAAACTTTCACTTTAAAGGACAATATAAAGTAGGTTCAAAATGATTACTTTTAACATATTAAAAATCAAAATCAATAATAATTTGAAAACAATTAATTTTAAAAATTATATAATATATGATTAAAAGAATTACTAATCTGGGTATAATTAAGGAAATAGAAGTTGATGTTGCTTTTGTAATTATCCATCAATTTTTTAAAATTAAACACTATTTACAGATTTGCATCGAAGCGTTTCTTATGATAGTGATTTTAAGTGATTAAAAAGTTGTAAAAATTCATCATTTACTATAATTTTTTTAAACAGAAATATATATTTTTAACTTGATATTATGATTATTAACAAAAATTACAAACAATTTTTTCTTATTTTTTTTATCCAATCAACCGTTTAAGTTTTAAGATTGTTTAAAAAACTTGAATTTAAGTAAAAATTCATCATTGTATTTATTTTCTCTATAACAGAGGCAGCAGTAATCTATTTCAATAAAGCATATATGGTTTAGTAAAACGGTTTAAAAAAATAATTGTAATTATTTTTATGATAGTTATCAATTGAAATATTTCATATTGAAGACTAACGATATTAGATAGTTAACTTACGTTGAATATAAGAGTACATGACTATTAATTGACAGAATTATTTGAAATAAGTGTTCGTATATTGGTAATACCTTAATTAATAATAACTAGTTTATGTGACAATATTGAAAAATGTAGAGTTCGTTTATTTTTAACAATATGCATATGATCGTGTCAAACTAGTATGGTGTAGTGGGAGTCGGCAAGCTTTCGGGTTTCCTCGTCATAAGCACGACCTGCCCTAACCAGTTTTATTGTTGTGGTAATGTGTGCGCTCTCCTACTCACGATCTCGTTCGCTCCGGATGTGCGTTGCTTCAGTAAAATTACGGACAGTCACTATTTTAAATCCCCCCCCAATGAGCAGGTTAAGTGTTAGATTTAAAAAAAAATGATATAAAATGAAAGGGAAATATCTAAGGTTTTAGTATAAAAAAAAATTATGTTGATTTATTTATTTTTGAAAAAGTTATGGACGTTTTAAGAAAAAAAAGTGAGAAAAATGACAAAATTTACTGATTTTTAAATTTGTAATTTTTTTGGATATTTCCCCTATTTGCGGGGAACGAGGGAAAATTTTTTTGACTAGATACCATTTGTGATCTTTTGACGTATCGTTGAAAGAAATCCGTTCGGTGAGAGCTGAGAAAAAGTGGTAACAGACACAAAAAAAAAAGAAACACATCATAGTAAAACCAATACCTTCTCAGCTTCGCATCGAAGCTAAAATCACAAAAAAAATCTGGATATAACATAATCTTGTAACACGCTTGCCATGTTGCGGGACCTAGTTTTAGTTATTATTGAGGTGGACATAATGCCCATGCACTCAGACCTGTTGGTCCATTGTGCGCACCTCATACCGAATTGTCTTGATTCGGTTTACCCACCTAAGTGTTATCACCAAAGTGTTAATACATTACCAACCATAAAGTCACCTCTAGAGATGACCAAAGAGTCCTGTCTTTCTGGCGAAATTAAGTATCTCTCTGGGTTTTAGGTTTTTAATATCCTCTTTTTCAGGAAATGGTTTATTCAAGTAGTTTGATCTTAGTGTGGACAAGGCTTCTGTAATAAACCAAAAATAAAAAGAAAGAAAATATAAAGAGAAAAATAGTAGAGATATAAAATTAGAAAACGTAGGTTAAATATAAAAAGAAATTGGCAGTACTTAGTAAATTATTGTTATCAATTATTTATTATAAGTTTTTGTAATTTTAATGTAGATTTAATTGTCTTCAATTTTATTTAAATCAATTTTCTCATTAATTATTAATGGTTTATCACGCAATAGATTGTTGGGAGTTCGAAAGCATAAGTTAAATTGTACTTACCTTACGTCCTGTGTGATACAATAATATTTTAAATAATCCAGTGTTGATTTCCGTATTATACGCACTACGTATACGATTTACACTATATGTAATATAGTCTATATAATTGCTTACAAAAAACGACTCAAGACTTTAAATAAGATGATTTAATTACACAAAGTCTAAGACTGATCTTACTTGTAAAAGATTTTAAACACTCTGTATTTTATTATAAAAACAATTTTAATTTTTTTTATTTATTGATTTTTTTTACGTCTGTTGAATAAGTATTTTTTAGAGAGTATATTTTATTGAGAGATCGATACCAATATTTCTTAAATTTTCCTCTGGCCTGGCCAAAACAAGATTCAGAAATATCTATATCTATGTAAAAAATTTATCAAGGCAGAATTGTGGTGGCCCAATGTGTCCCGGTGCTAAAATAAAGCACCTTGAAAGGATGCGGCACAATAATAACCAAGACAAAAATTAAACACTGCAAATATATTCGTAAGTTTCTCTACGTTGTCTGCCGGCGCGATGTTTATTAAAACAAAGACATTAGCAACGAGACTAGCTACCCAATAAGCATAGGCTTACAAATATATTCTAACCTAATATACCTAATTCTAGAACAATGTCTAGTTGCAACCTTTACTCTGTCTGCCGGCGCGATGTTTGTTAAAACAAAGACATTAGCAACGAGACTAGCTACCCAATAAGAAAAGCTCACAATAAATTTTTATTATTAAATGAATATCTAAATTTAGGTTGGATTTATTGTTAAAATAAAATAATTTAAAAAAAATATAATGTTTAAAATATTATTTGATGTTTATTTTCATAACAAGAAAAATAAAATATTATTAATGATTGAACAAATTAAATTAAATTAAAAGATTCACCAAAACAAAATTCACTTTAAAATTTCTAAGTGTCATTTAGTTTTAAAGAAAAATATTCTAAGTCCAAATTAATTAAAAAATCGACTAAGTCCCGGAGAGTGAAATCTTGAGTAGAGTGTCGTAGATTTTGTGTATTTTAAAATCGTCAAAAGAACTGGTTTAGATGGGGA